GTGGTTAGAATTTGTTTTATTACCTCCGATATAGTTAGTAGCAGAGGATAACCATGGAGCCTGTGTGGTTATATACATTTTATGGTTCTTTGACCCTTTTTTCCAGATGCCTAACTCCCAAGACTACTTCTTACTGATAGGTGTGAACAGGACCAAGGCATTCAAACCAAGCCCTTCCCATGTAAGCCAAGGCCACAAGGAAGGACTTCCGGTCCCACTTTTTGGACCTCCTCTGTGGCCCCGGGAATATTGCACTTTCGCTTTTGAAATCATATCTTAATGGTCGGTCATATTAAGAACTAGTCAATGAGTCTGTGCAATCCAAATTATTAAATCTTGCATTTTTTTTATTCGTAATTTCTATGCAGTCAGAAAATATCTAGATAAGCAGAGTATCTTAACCTTATCCATGCGTTTATTTCCTCTCAAACTGATTTTTTTAATAATGTTTGTCTGTAGGTTTGCCTAACTTCTTGCTACAAAAGTTTCAGTCTACTAAATGGTGAAGCTAGACAGGAATCTTCGTTCCCAGCTGAGGTTCCAAGTTGAGAACGAGAACTGATCTGCTTCTTCTTCTTATGACCAGAGTCTTTGGTAAGATGGGTAAGGAAGAAGGATGGGTAAGGATAGAAATATTGGAAAAGGGTGGGAGGGGGGGAGTGAGGTAAGATATAAAAGGTAAGTGACGCAACCACTTTGGTGCAATTTAAAAAGTGTGAAAATAATAGAAAACTCTTGAAGGGGTATAATACTAACCCATCAGTCACATATATATAGGTACATGACTCTGAATTGGTAGTAGATATACAAGTTGCAATTGCGTTTTTTTTTTTTTTTTGCTATTGCATAACGAATATTTAAACGACGAGACAAGGCGGTAATCTGGACAGTTCGTAAAGAATTACTTGACACGTTAGCTTCTTTCAAGGTGGTGTCTGCCATAGTAAATGTAGCATATTTATAACAGTAGATGTAGAAACAAAAGTGTTATGCAAGATGTCTCCCTAATTGAAGGTGGTGATAATTTTCTTAGTAGACATAGAAGGGTTTGGTGTTACCAATTCATATTCATCTGCAGGATGCTTGGCCAAGATCATTGGTCGATGGTAATCGTCTTTATGGATGATGAGGACGCACCTCTGTGGGAGAGTCATTCTTTGGGTCCTGTGAGGAGTGGTATTTTCAACTTGGAGAGGATGTTCTCTATTTGGTATGTAGAGTTCTTGCATTGCATAGAGTTGTCTCTTCTTCAGCGTATCAAGGCGTACATTTAAGGCTGTAATTTATGGTTGTGTGTAAATCTGTCATTTTGACTCTGTCTCTCCTGGTACCTGTAATAAAGCGGAGAACTCTATTCTGAACCCGTTGCAACTTTAGCATGTTGGTCTTTGTTGTTAACGACATTGGGACACATGGGTATTCGGGTGGTATTGGTCTTATCATCATTTTATACAGATGTTTTTTGAACATATGAAGGGGCTTGATTAATCTAAAGAGATGCTAATGGACGGCTTTGGCTATGTTTGAATTTGTTATTGACGTGTGATGTTGAGTGGAGCAGCCTGTTATTTCATAATCCCAAGATCTTGTTAGGATTTCCAATGAGTACAGGTGTATCTGATGGATGATACCTCCCTGATCTTCGATGGGTGATGCAAAACATCCTATCGTGCTAAACAGGACTTTGTCAAGAATTATCTGATTGGGGTGGGGGGGGGGGGGGAGGGTGGGGGGGTTAAATTTTAAAATTCTGTTGATTTATCAGATTAAAGCTACTAATTTTACCAACCGTGTATGTTGCGAATATACTTGTACTTTATACCTCGGGTCGGGAAATATTTCTGCAAATTGCTTGCCAATTTTAGAATGACGAGCCTCGTGCTCTTGGGGGAAGAAATTATTCGCACTCACCTCTTATGTTCCTCCTAGATCGTTTAACAGATTGCCATTGTTTGGTGTCAGGAATTTGTTAAAGCCTTTCAATCTCAACCGAAAGCACATCTCTTTCCTAGAGCTTATGTTCTGTTGACTATGAGCTTCGGTATGTCTTCTTCATTTTTGGTATTGCAATTATGGCTTGGTGTGCGAGAGCTTGCGAATCTCTTTAATTAAGGAGCAGGCGCTCAAGAATATCAAAAATCCCAAATTATTTTTATTATTAGTATTATTATTACTGATGGTGTTGATGTTAAAAAGCACCAGTATTTGACAAGAACTTTTTATTTAAGATAATCTATATATGGATTTACAAACATATTTTTTTACAGTGGTTGTGAGAGTACATAGATTTTACGAGCATCTACGTACATGATGTTATGTATATTTAACCTAGTATACCACAGTAAATTAAAAAAAACAAAAGAATGTCTTAATACCGCTGGTGTCCTTAATGACCTGCGTGTAGCTGAGAGGCTTTAAACCTAGTAAACGAACCGACTTCATTTTCTAGAATATGAAATTCATGGGGTCCATGAATAAAATCTACGAAACCTAATTCGTA